TATTTATAATGTGCCTAGAGGAATTTCATTAAATGCCCTTTGTGCAAGCAGCCCAGCTTTTCTTTTTTTTTTTTTTTGACTGCATTTTGCCTTTAACTCCTTTCTGAAAGCCCCACTGTAAGCCACCTGGATTTGTAGGGGACCCCAAGTTTGGCCTCAATAAAATGGTATAGTAATTTCGGTCCATGCCTCTTCAGACAGCAGATGAATTTGATTTGCAGCTTGACTAGGCTGCTGGATGGCACAAATCACAAGCGAGATTCCTAAGAGGAGGCTGCTTTCATAGTCTTCTGCCTGAGAGTTAATTTTTCAAGCCTCCCAGGAGTAAGAGCCCAGGTGGCTCCAGTGATGAACGCTATTTACAGAACTAACAACTGTGATTGCATCCTCTGTAACCACAGAAAAAGAACAAAGCTGATAAGCTGCAGGTGTTTGCTGGAAAACTCAGTCACGTACTTACCAACCTCTGTTTTTGTACTGAGAAAAGCTGTAACCATGCTTATTTATTGCAGAAATACCTTTTGCCACATTGTGCATGTAGCCCCAGACTGTCTGTAAAGCTGGCAGTGCAACATCTGGCTAGTGATTGAGATGGCATTCAGTGTCTCACAGGCCATAGTTCGCTTCTCAAGACTGGAAACAGTTTTCAGAGATGCTATGCATGCTGTGGGAAATACTCTTATTTCAGGCCTAATTGAGTTCAGGCAGTCACATTATGTTAAAGAAAACTGCACCAGCTTAAACTGGGGATTAGAGGATAAAGTATGCGCTCTTAACTATAATAAACCTGAATTTGTCCTTACAGCATAGCAGATAGGAACATTAATTTCCAGACGATGACCTGCTCTTATTCTTTGCTTCGACGCCTCTCTACACCATCATCAGTCACAAAACCCACATTCGTATTAACCACACAGTGGATTTGGTATTGGAAAAACGACCAAGGCCAGTGGATTGAATATGGAGAACAGGTGAGTCCACATCCCGTGCTTTGAATCACTTCTGAAGAAATGTACGGAGCCTCTTCCCCTGACTCCCCTTTACTCAGCAAGGTTAATTAAGTAAAAACTTGTGCTTGAATTTTACAGTGTCAAGTAAGGCAGTGAAGCTACAGATGTTCATAACATATGGGATAAAATGACAACAGGCTGGAGGGGAGGGAACGCGCCTTATCTCCTTGCAATGAGGTTCAGTACGAACAATGTCTGTCTTTGTGTCTGGATGGTTTGTTGTGACTACTTTCCTGACAAAGACCTTGTTGGCAAATGCAGGATAGAAAAAGTCCTTTTTTTCAGCTTGTGTTGATGAGACTGTTTTTGATGATGCATGCTGGCTTCTCTAGTCAGATTCCCTTTTGGAGCTGTCCATGGCTTCTACGCAGATTTAACATGTATCCACTGTCCTTGAGATATATTGCCTTTTAAATTATTCAGGAAGTAGTCTTGCCTCTCTTCTAAGCATTGTCCTGCTTCCTTGGACATGCAAGGATTACTCAAATGTTGCCTTTTTCCTTGGGTGGCCAAATCCTCTTTGATGAGAGAGAGTGATCTATCTGAAAAGTGCTGGAAGAGAAATAAGGAATCTCTCCTTCCCCCAAGGCAGATGCGTTTTCCCCATCTGGTTTACGGTATAGCTGCACAAATGGCAGAACACAAAGGTGATCCAGGGATGTGGAAAAGCAGGCAGGGAAAGATGATGGATATAGTGGCTCTAGAAATGGTGGGCCTTGATTTCAGTATGCAGCTTACACAGAAATCATCTTCATCAGCCTACCTTCGTATTTTACATTGTTTTGTACATTAGAGAATTATACTTGCATCGTGGTTTAACCCCGGTGTCACAAAGCAGATTTAGAATCTGTTGACTATGCCAGTTTGTCGCAGGGGAGATTTTGGACCATTTAAAGAACCACCGCCAAAGGTAGCAGCAAAAGTAGTTTTATTGAATTAGGATGTTGTAAAAGTGGGACTTTACAAAGTCTGATGGCAAGGTTCACTCTATTACTTACTGCACAGAGAATATAATAATAATTCAAACTTACCAAACCAAAATCTTAGTACACTATAATACAAGGTTATGTGTGATATTGGTTGTGTACCAAAGATCTGCCATTGGTAAGGAGGCTCTCAGCCTCAAGGAGTAACCTTGAGAGGTGTCCTAGCTCAAGGGGTGATCACCGCTGTGCAGCCTGCTCCTTAGCAGGGAGAGCTCAAAAAAAAAAGCTCACTCAGGCCGTTACATTTATGGAATAAAGTGGTTGGCTCGTAGTCAAATTACATGTGATGGAAAAGGTAGGCATGAGCCTCCTTGTACCCACAACTTTCTTCGTTCCCTGACAAATTAGCCTTGGAAGAACCACCTGCTATTCATGTGTTAATTGCATGATCGGTATTCCAGTTTCCAAGCTCATATGCATCACTGCTCACCATGTCACCCTGTTCCTGTGTGGGTTTTCAGCGAACAGGTGGAACTAGAGAAGTTCATGGCCCAGTCATGGTCTAGGCCTTTACTTCCTTTGGAGCCTGAACCAAACTAACACTAGTTTGGTCAAAGAGTCAAGTGCATCTGCCGTACCCGCCCGGCAGCTAAGCCCCACACAGGCGCTCACTCAGTCCCCCCGCAGTGGGATGGGGGAGAGAATCAGAATGGTAAAAATGAGAAAACTCGTGGGTTGAGATAAAAACAGTTTATGTGCACACAAACAAAGCAAAACAAGGAATTCATTCACTACTTCCCACCGACAGGCAGGTGTTCAGCCATCCCCAGGAAAGCAGGGCTCCATCATGCGTAATGGTTACTTGGGAAGACAAACACCATTACTCCAAAAGTTCACCCTTCCTTCTCCTTCCCCCAGCTTTATATACTGAGCGTGACATCATATGGCATGGAACACCCCTTTGGTCAGTTGGGGTCAGCTGTCCCAGCTGTGTCCCCTCCCAGCTCCTTGTGCACCCCCAGCCTGCTCACTGGTGGCGTGGGGTGAGAAGCAGAAAAGGCCTTGACGCTGTGTCAAGCAGAGTCTTGGCTCAGCAGTAATGAAGACATCTCTGTATTATCAGCACTGTTTTCAGCACAAATCCAAAACATAGCCCCGTACTAGCCACTGTTAAGAAAATTAACTCTATCCCAGCCCAAACCAGTACCGCTTGTTACAAAAATTGAAATGGGATACATGCGTGTCCATCATTACTAATTATGTGTGTAAGTTATGAGTGTTTGGTAATCGCACTTTAGGCCACAATAGTTCTGGGTAGATTTCTCTTCATCTTACTCTTTGCCTCTTCTTTCCCTCTACCCAAACTAGTCATCCAGGGTTTAGTCCTGACTGTGTTTACTCATTACTCTTCTCTCTCTTTTTTTTCTCCCCCCACCCACCCAAAGGGAGAAGGGGATAGTGTGAACTCGCCATCTTCTGATATTATTGAGAATTTGTATCTAGCAGATCCAGGTGCCACCATATCTTTCCAGGCTGGCGTGCATCATTACCAGCTCAATTTTAAAGGTACTCATTTTAAAGGTTCTCATTTACAACTATGCAGTGCTGTACAAAGAGTAACTTGCAAGCTGTCTCAGCTTTTAGAAGCTATGACTTTTTCTACTAACACTACCAGATTTACTCATTGGAAGGGGAAATGAGGTAGTGATGGCCCAGAGGAATTTCCTTACAGAAGTAACCTTCCCCCTTATTCCTTGACACTATCCAGACTCACATTGGACCAGAAATAAAAAGATTCGTAGTCTTCACATACAGTCATAGTAAACCTTAAGTAAAGTGAGTTGTCCCTGTGGATGGTAAAAATGAAAAATCAAGCATCTTTCTGTTCTGCTGGAGCAACATTTACAGAGCATGAATGACTTAAGGGAGCAAGCAAGATAGGCACAGGTTAAATAACAGAGTTACAGGAAGGACAAGAAGCTTACATAGGCTTTGTGCAACTATTCTTCAGCAGATGGAATTGATAATGAATATGCACTTTTCATTAATGAATGATTGTCATTAATAATGACTCCATCTTGTAGACTTATTAATTACTTCTTCCGTCTCTTTTTTTCCTCAAGAAATGACCCAGACAAACATGTCTTTTAAAACTCGAAGACAGGTCTGCAGGCGACCAAAGTTTGTGTCTTCTGAAGATGTGCAGAAGATAAAGAAAGGGTAAATGGTGCTCTTTGGGCTTTTTTCATGTTTCAGAAGTAATTGTAAGGCAAAATGGCTGCTAGCGTTGGCAGTAATTGTGCAAAGAATGCAGCTGTTACTAGAAGAAAACATATCCATTTGACTGAACAGAAGCTATATCACAAACTGTCGGCTTGGTGTATCGCCTAGTTTCTGGGGTACATGTTACTCCAGGTACTACATCCACAGGACTGGGATGGACAGTTGTTTCTTAAAGAAGCAAGTGGAAGAGTACTGTGACAACTGAATGGCAGCATGCAAAGCCCAGCTCACAGAATGAGGCTGTTTCTTTGTGGTTTATTTTGTTTATTTTTAAATGTGGGAATTGGCCAAAGGGGATGCTGCCAATTTAAATGTTCAGAGCAGGACTACTAACACCTTGTTTTCTGTTTGTTTGCAAACAGCCAGAGGGATTCTTCTATTCCAAATCAAGCCTGTCCTATCCACTGGGATCAATCTGCACTGCCTGAATTGGGATACAAGGTATCTTATCTTTTTTTTTCTTTTTTTTTTTCCTCTCGTAATTCTGATGGAAAGGCACAACTCGAAGAAGAACGCTGCTTAACTGAAGCAATTGTAACTGGGTAGATGCTAAAAATGACAGCAGTGACTTCTTGGGTGGGTGTGCTAAAGATCTAGGTGATCTCCCAAGAGCTCCTGAAAAAGGTGCCAAATTCCCATAAATTTCGCCTGCATTTTAGGCATCTATTCACATGCAAAAACAAAACTCACCAAATTCAAGACAAAAAGATTCACTGTTAAAAAGGAAAAAAATGGCTTACCTGGGTGACTCAGTGGACCAGTTAAGCAAGGAGCTTCCATGAAGTGTGTATTTCTTCACTAGAAGCTGGGCTGAGACCAAACCCTTTCTGTGTAGGCCATTATAAAACCATCCAGTAATAATACCATCATGGCTGTTGGTAGATAAAGTTTGGATTGGAGACCTGGGAAAGGAAATCTATATATACTCTTTCAAGTCACCCAGTACTGTGACATACATCACAGATCTGAGCACAAACCATAGCCTCAAGGAATGGCAGAAATAGAGTTACAGCCAAGAATATCAAAAAACATTTGCAGTGATCTCTTCAACAAAACAAAACAAACCCCTGCCAGCCCAAAATCTATGTTCTATTTGGTCTACCAGGACTAAAAATGTGCAGGTGTGTTTTAAATTACTAGCTCTAATGGTACTAAGAAGCAGTCCTTCTGGAAGAGCAACACAGCCTCTGGAAGTACTACAGTATGTCAGAAAAAAGGCTTTTCAGTGTTACACTTGTCCTTTTTTGTAGTGGTTTTGACCCTGATTAAGGAACAGCACATAACGTGGAGCATAAGAGGTTTTCCTTGTTGACTGTGTCACAAAATCTTGTATGGTGCTGACCGAGTTGTATTGGCACAGATATCATGATGGCTAGGGACAGGACAGAAGTAATATATTTCCAGAATTCTTTCTGGCTACTTGCGGTTGACAGACATCTTCATTGCTATTCTCACTCTTTGCATTTTATTTTCCCTAGTGTAGTTACACTAGCAGTGGCATGAGAACCAGAAATATCATGTCTCAGCTTCTGTGGGCTGGTTTCTGTTACTCTGTTTTGTGCTGAATGTTTTATTTTACCCTGACCACCCTCTTGTGATGGATTATGCCTTACTCAAGGTAATGCCAGTATCTGGCTGTGTGTGTATAGCAAATTCATCTAAATACAGTTCTGATGAAAAATCAATTTGTAAAATTTAAGTCAACTGCTCTGTACATTAGCTCCCTTCAAACAGCTGTTTTTCACAATTAGCAAAAACCCCTAATTTTTCAAGATTGTAAAAGCGTCAGCTGTCCAGCACCTGCTGAATGAACTAATAATGAGTTTATGTGGAAATCTGGCAGCCAGACCTTTTGAAGATTTGGGCCTGTGCTATTATGAGCTCTGTCAAAATAATAAAGGATATAGCTAATCAGCCCTTCCCTTGGCTTATCAGCAGCTTATTTGATTAACTTAAGCTTAATTTTTTGAAAAGAATGCCAGGAAGACAGGTAGCTCAGATCTTTTTAGGTCTACAAAGTTGTATATACTTAACTGCTTCCCTTATTTACTGTGAGAACTTCAGTTTGAATTTTAGTTGAGTCCATTTCTTCGGGTGTTTCTGGAGTCACTGAGGTGAGTGTGAGAGGCTTTGGAATGCGCAGACCCACGGTATCGCTGGTGGTACTTGTGGGGATGCATGACATAGAAGGATCATCTTGTTTCCCAGAGCTCAGTTTGCTTTCTGAGTTGGCGTCTAAGAAAACCATCTCTTAGCTTGTAAACTGAGTGCCTTTCACAGGAAAGGAAAAGTTAATTCTGCACCTAAAAAGTGACAAAGCCCACAGTACCTGTTGGTGCTAAAAGTGAAAGTCTGGGCTAGATTAAATCTTTCTGTGGCACCCTAAGCTTGTTTTTTTGCAGTAGGTAATATTGGGACTGGCTGGGATTCTGCATGCATGTGGTGACCATCATAACAACTGACAATTACGACTTGAGGAATTCCCTTCTCTTCAGATATTGACAAATAATCCTGGCAAAATTTGCTGCGCTGGAAGTGATCCGTTTTAAAAAAGACCACCTATCTGAGATAGGGAGAAAGTAATCCTTGCGTAAATAAAGCAGCTCTGTTTTGGTAACGTTGCTTATTTTTTGAGTGTTGCAGTGCAATCTGTAAATCATTTCGAATCATAGTTCTATAGAAAGTAGGGTGTATGAAATGCACAATGGAAATTGCTAACACCAACTGGAAAGTTGGTGTGGATCTCTTGTGTCTTTGGTTAACAGCCAAAGCGGAATTAGTAGTTGGTAAACCTTTTAAAGGCAAAAAAAGGAACTGATATTGTCTTGGAACTTCATGGTGGGTTTTAAATTGTATCTTTAATGTACAACTGAGAAATGCGTGCAATGAATGTGTGTTTTTATGTCAGAGGATGTCTTTGTGTGGCTGCTATGTTGCCGAAGCCTGACACGCATGCCAAAGATTGCTGTGCTGTAACAGGAATGGGAGCTGATGCAACATGAAGAGCCTGTCTGTGTACTTGATAGACATTAGTTCTAGTTGGGTCACTGTCGCTAATACAAAGTATGCTGCTTCCAACACCTAAGTTAACCAGAGATCAAGGTTTGATATCACGGAGTACTGTTCTTGTACAGTCATACGCTAATAGAAATTATTGTCAGGGCAGCGATTCTTTCTCTGCCTCAGAAACTCCACTCCTTGATAGTGACTTAGCAAATGCTTATCCTCTCTAGGATTTTTGTTTTTAGGTCTGAAGATGAAAAGAGCTAAAGAAGTTATGTTGCTATGAAGTATAACCTCCGATAGCAATGTGGTGTTACCTTTTATTAGCAGGGGAAGTGTCCTCAGGGAAATAAGCACAATCCCACAAAGTTTTAGGCAAGAGAACTGGCTTTGTTGCTTGGAGGCCATCATATGATAAAATAATTGAGGTACCTTTCTTACAAGATTGGGCCTTGTATCATGTGGCTGACCCTTTGTTTTACCCAGAAATGTTACGGTTACTCAGTAAAAGATGCAACATAACAAAAGCATATTTGTAGTCTAAATAAGAATTGTTTATGTATAAATAAAAGATGTAATACTGAAATACAGTGACATAATTTTCATCTTGTAGGTGATGGTGAGCAACTTGAGCTGTGGTGTCACAGAGCATGCAGATAATAAATACTCGCCCATCCAAATTGTTTTATGTGTTGTGTTGTAAAGAGGCTTTGCAAAATATTCTTGTATTAAGACATGGGAAATGTCATTCAACCTTGTAAAAGCTTTTTAATAAATTCACAGAAATAATTCTTCCTTGTGCAGCTGACTTTATTCTTAATCCTTTTAGAAGACTTTCCTGTGATAGGCCTCTTCTTCAGTAAATATTTAATGCACAAGCTGGACATGGTGTCCAGAAGAACAGTTCTTTCTTTATATGAAGCTGTGAAATACAAGTCCTATTTTACCTCCTCTCTAAACTCAGCCTTCTAAACATGGACTTTTGCCCGACAGGGTAAGATGCTGATTTCATATTACCTCCTAGGATGACTGCAGCTTTCCTGCTTAAAACAAACTTTGTTACGTGGGATGTTGGGCATTTCACTTTAAGACATCTTGAGTCCCCACTTGACTTAGGCAGCAGTAACGTGGAAAGTATTACCAAGTGACGTCAGTCTGCCAGCATTATGCATCTTCAGTCTAGTTTACAGAAGAGAAGTGTTCATTCTAGAAGATTAAAGACACAGATTCCTTTGGAGAAAAAATTGGAAAATTTATGCATGACATAAGCAAGCAGAAGAACTCGAATCATGTTTTAATTACGCTTTGCTTTAACTTTTCTTTGGGAAAAATGTGCATTTCTTGATGGATTTTTAACCACGGAAAGTGTGGATTTACATATTAAGTGTCTGTCCTAATTATTCACATAGTCACAATCTAAAGCATTAAATTAACCTTCAGAAGTATAGTCTGGGACCCTTCTGAAAGTATATCTGCCATAATTAGGCTTCTGCATGTTATAAGCTAACTGAAGCTTCATGTCTTCTTTTGGTTTGTGTTTTATAGGCAGTGGAGATCAGTAACACAAGCTCTGAATACAACCTAATAAAGCAGCTATTTCTTCAGACTATGAAAAGCTACAGTATCCTTAAAATACGGAGGATTCAGAATCCATCCCTCTGGAAAGTGTTTCAGTGGTTAGTATTTGTTTCCTCATCCTTAAGGGGAGGGAGTCTCCAAGAGCTGGTGTCCTGTATATTCGTCCTAGGAAAGGAAAGATGTTACCACCCGTGCTTTAACATGACTGGTATTTCCTTCTTAGGGGCAGTTTCAGGATTGAAATTAAGTGTCTAAGGCCTTCCAGAGAATGCCATGCTCCTCAGGGGAGGTTACCTTTGCATGACTCCTCGGAAGATGCGGGGAGGGGTATGGACAGAAAGACAAAAATTATGCAGAATTGGGATGAGGATACCCACAGTGATGCGGAATACCATATTTTCTCAAGGATTGAACAGTAACTGCCTGCTGCACACACCTTCTGTCTGTTACAAACATTTATCCATTAGAGTATATGAAATACTTCCTAAAAAAGAAGTGGGCAAGGGTAAGGGTGCTTGAGCCTTTTTTTTTTTCCCAGGCAGATTTATTTAAGGCTTCTTCAAGAGTTTGAGCACCTGTGCTGAATGAAGTCAGTACTCACTGAGAAAGAATCCTTATGCTTTAACTAAATGAACTCTGAGTTCCAGAGCTCCTTTCTGGTTTTCAACATCTGCATCAGTGATACTGAACTCCAGGTACTTACACCAAGCTAGATACCAACAGATTTGAGCTGGTGCCAGTGACAATAAATGACCGTGTTCAGGTTAATTTGGTAGCAGATTAAGCTGTTGCATAGAACAGTTTTCCAGTTTAAAACAAAAGCACAGATACTTAAGGGAACTATTCAAGGACTGTATGGCATGGTAATGGAGAAGAAAAATACTGCTCAAATAAGTACTTTCACCTGCAAAGTGACTGAACCCAGGAGGTCACCAGCTAATAATTTCATAAAACCTTGTCATCTAGCAAAACTTGAGACACTTCAAATCAGGTAATAGTGCATACCTTTTCTTGTTATCCTCCTGCAATGAGATAATTAAGCTAACCAGGCAGAGTTTAACATTGCCAAATTCTCAGTGAACAAATTTCAGTCCATTGCTCTTAACTTTTCATTTCCGCAGTTTACCAGTTGGAAGGATTCTCCCCTCTCCCTGGCTCTGTTTACTTCATAGCTGGTCAATTCCTGAAGACTATTACTGTCTTGTCCACTTCCACAGCTTCTGAAAACCTGTGGCATGTCTGGATGCTGTGAAGTAGTGATGGGAGATACTAGTTGAGCCTTCCGTTGCGATTCCTCTTTTGATTTCAGGTCGTAGCTCAGTCTGACTGGCCTTAATCAGTCAGGTCTTCAGTGGTGAAAGAAGGCTCAGTTTCTCTCCTTCTGGCTCTGTCCCCTCAGCTGCACTGATCCCACCGAGGGGCGGGAGCTCAGGGCCTACAGCAGTTTGCGTTCGCTAGGGGAATGCAGAACAAGCTGCCTCTAGCTTTTACCCACTGCTGGAGCATGGAGGCTCTGCGGTCAGTACAGCCTCTGCTCCGCAGAGAGTTTGGGGGTGGGAAGGGACTAGAGACATTAAAGCAGAACTAGTAGGGCCCTATAGAGGAGCAAAAGGTTGGTACAGTGGGGATTGTAATAGTGTCAATGCTTACTTCAGTTCACTGAAGAAAGCCAGAATTATCTAGAATTGCTGGGCAGTAGTATCAGTATATTGCTCATCTTGTAATTGGTCATCATACTGGTAGTCTGTTTCATCTTCCAAGCTGACAGAGGAGAAAGCAGACTGGAAATCTCATCCAGCTGATATTTACATGTACTTTAGGTACTTTTTTTCCTTCTTTAAATGCCTTTTTCCCTTTTCTTCCATGGCTCACACTCTCCTCCCCTGCATTTTTCTGTTAGGCAAAAGGAGCAGATGAAGAGGGAAAATGGAGGGAAGGAAGTAACTGAAAAGCTCCTGTTCCATGGAACCAAGACCTCCTTTGTGGAAGCCATCTGCCTTCACAACTTTGACTGGAGAATTTGTGGAAGCAATGGAACTGTCTATGGAAAGGGTACGTAGAAGTGACTCTGTGTGTTAGACGTCTACTTAGACTCCCCTGATACTAGAGCAATCAAAGTTTTGAAGTCTTTAACTCTAGAGGGTGAAATAAAGTGGTAGGAATTGCTATTATGATCTTCCTTCCCTCTGGAGAGGACAAGAATTTGGTTTGTGTGGGGGTAATCTTTTCACAAGGTGATAAGAGAATTAATGTAGGGATTTGAAAAAGCCTCTGTTGCTGTAGGTGGGATCCTGTGAAGGCTCAAGGTCATAATTTGAACTTGCCAGAGAAATGGCCGCTAGTCTTCATGGCAGGGAGCAAGAAAGGTGTGCAGTCCCTCAGTGTGGTTGTGGAAGGCCCTCATGTTTTCTTGTCTATCCCTCTCATCATAACAGACATACCTGTAGTGTTTCCATATGTTTTGGTTTTTCAAAAATTATTCCTAAAATAGCAAATTCTGAATGGAAATTATGTGGTGAAATCCTTTCTCTTGTAAAAATTTCTATGGTATTATGTAAACTGGGTAAGAGGAGACCTGTATGTTGGGTCAAATACCTCCTGAAAAACAAGGGGATGCTCAGTTTTTGCTGTCATTCTATACATACTCCTTATAACCATGTTTTCATATAATTTTCTAGGAAGTTACTTTGCTAGAGATGCTTCCTATTCCCATACATACTGTCAGCCTGCGGTGAAACCAAACCTCATGTTCGTGGCTCGTGTATTGGTTGGAGATTATGTTAAAGGCAATGCAACCTATGTTCGCCCCCCGACAAAGTCTTTTGACGGGCTTCGGTTTTATGACAGCTGTGTGGACAATGAGTTAAATCCCTCCATTTTTGTTGTCTTTGAAAAATACCAGATTTACCCAGAGTATATAATAGAGTATGCGGAGGAAGAAAAAAAGTGTATTGTATCTTAGAGGGATCAGAGCTGTTTGTATCCCTCATCTTATTTTCTGTATTGCAGGTGTTCTCACACTTGGTGACTTCTTTCCTTTTAATACAATCCTTTGGAATGTTAATCCAAAGAATTTCTGTATTGAGGAGGGCTGGCAAAACAGATGTTACATTTGTTGAGACTAATTGCCTTGTATTCTCCTCTTT